TACCACGAGTATACAAAAATATTTGCTAACTGATGCAAGGTTATACATTTTTATAATGTAGAATTAAAATCAATTAATTAAAGGTATAAGATTGTGAATCCATATCTTAAAAGTTAAGAATTTAACATAGGTTACAACTATCTTTAATAATCACTTTGCATATTTATATCAAATTTTAAGCTGGATAAAGGGAACAACGATTATGAGAATGAAAATATCGATTTGTTTTTTTGTTTGGACTGAGATTTTATTTTAACATTAACAATTTATATTTTGTCCAATTGCGTCAAACAATTCAAAAACTTTAAAAATAACGGTTGACCATTGTCACTTATCTAGGGTACATCTTCACTGAAATATTATTTTAACATGTTAGCAATTAATATTTCAGCCCATTTGCTTCAAAAAAATTTAAAAACTTTTAAAAACAACGATTATGACAATTGTCACTTTTATATGGTACATCTTCATGAAATTTTAATTTGACATTTTTACAATCTATATTTTTACCCTTTTGTATCAAAAAATTTCAAAAAACTTTAAAAACAACGATTATGACAATTGTCACTTATCTATGGTACATCTTCATTGATATTTTATTTTAACATGTTAGCATTTTCTATTTTTGCCCATTTGCTTCAAAAAAATTCAAAAAACTTTAAAAATAACGATTATGACAATTGTCACTTATGAAGGGTACATCTTCACTGAAGTTTTATTTAAACATGATAGCAATTTATTTTTTGCCCATTTGCTTCAAAAAAATTCAAAAAACTTAAAAAATGATTGACAATTGTCATTATCATCTCAACATCTTCACTGAAGTTTTATTTAAACATGTTATCAATACTTATTTTGGCCCATATACGTCAAAAAGGGTTTAAAAATAACGATTATTACAATTGTTACTTTTCTGTGGTATATCTTCATGAAATTTTAATTTAACAAGTTTACAATCTATATTTTTACCCATTTACATAAAAAAATTCAAAAAACTTTAAAAATAAGGATTATGACAATTGTCACTTATCTAGGGTACATCTTCACTGAAGTTTTATTAATACATGTTAACAATACTTATTTTAACCGATTTACGTCAAAAAAATTTAAAAAACTTTAAAAATAACGATTATGATAATTGTCACTTTTATATGGTGCATCTTAATAAATTTTACCGTAAATAAAATCTAATGTGTTTAAAAATACCGATTATGATAATTGTCATTTTTCCAAGGAACATCTTCAATAACGAATATAAAAATTGCCAGATTAAATTATTATCCTTAAAAAGATCATATACATAAATAAGTTAAATAAAAATATTTTTAAAAAATATTATTTAGAAAACCCACCTCTTTTCATATACTTAAAAAATAGATAATTTTACATAAATGATAAAATAATCTATAAAATATTTCACCTAAAATATTGTTTATTTATAATAAAATTCACAAAAGAATTCCTCAAAAAAGTTATAAAATTTTTATCAAAATATGTTTAAAAATCTTTTTGAACTTAATATTTTTTGCTTAAAATTTTGGGCGTGAAAATCACTAATAAATTGTAACAAAAATAATATTATAATAGTAGCATATCATTTTTTTTATTAAAAAAATATCAAATAAAAGAAATCTATTTTTCATTTCATTTCATAATACAATAATATAAATAAAAAATATATATCATATAATATGTTTATTTGTTGATAAATAAAATATTAAATAAAATAAATTATTTTAATAAAAATAAAAAAAATAATAATAGGCTGCTTATTTCGCGAAATAGTTTTCGCTATATTGTCTTCGCGATTTATGTTTCGCAATATTGACTTCACTATAAAATTTTCGCTAAAGGTTTCGCGATAAGAGTTTAGCTATAATAAAATTCGCGATAAACGACATTCGCGATAAAAGTTTCGTGAAAAAGTGTTTCGATAAAAGTTTCGCTGAATTGACTTGGAAACAATTAGTTTGTGTATATGGTACTAAATATGCTTTATATTAAAATTTAGAAGAAAAAGAAAAAATTGTTGAAATGTAACCCGTGAGCATTAAAGGTATTAGAAATATCAAAATTTAAATTTGTGATAGATCATATTGAATAAAAATTAAAATTGAGATGCTTGGAAATTTTTTAATTTTAAATATGGGGTAGACATTGGCCTGAAATTTTTTTTCCAGACATAGCCAGGCCTGATCAAAAAACCAAGTCCCATGCAACTTTCATAAAATTTTGCCATTTATTTCTATTGTAATTTAATAACAATTTCTTAAATTTAATTTTATAATCCATTTATTTCTTTTGTAATTTAATAACAACATCTTAAATTTAATTTTATATTTAGAATATAATTTAAATTTGTGATAGAAATCATATTGGGTATTTAAAATAGATATGCTTGAAAATTTTTAAATTTTAAATATGGACCAAACATTGGCCTGAAATTTTTTTCCTCAAACCTGGCCAACCCATAATGATTTTGTAATTTTTCCTCAAGCCTGGAGATAGGTAAATCTCTGAAAACCATATTGTTGGGAAAATTTTCTCAAGCCCGCCAAAGACCATAATAATTTTGTTAGTTGGGAACTGAAATATACATAAAACTCATAACTCATTTAAAATAAAATCAGAATATGAAAGTTGCATGGGCTTAATTTTTTAATCAGGCCTGGCGATTTCTACAAAAAAATATTTTCAGGCCAATGTCTAGCCATATTTAAAATTAAAAAATTTTCAAGCATTTCTATTTTATATTTTACCCAATATGATTTCTATCACAAATCTAAATTTTATTATAAATATAATATTAAATTTAAGACATTTTTATTAAATTACAATAAAAATAAATGGCAAAATTTTATAAAAGTTGAATTGGACATGGTTTTTTGATCAGGCCTGGCTATGCCTGCAAAAAAATTCCAGGCCAATGTATAAAACATATTTAAAATTCAAAAATCTTAAACTTCTCTATTTTAAATTTTATCCAATATGATTTCCATTACAAATTTAAATTTTGATATTTCTAATACATGCTCATGGTATACATTGCAACAATTTTAACTTATTTTCTCCTAAATTTTAATATTTATATAAAATTTATTAATAAAGTATATTTAGTACCATACACACAAACTAAATAACTACCCTTCAACCCCGTCAGCTAGTATAGTAATAAACGGCAAAATTTATAAAATATCAGTTATTAATTAATATAAAATATTTATTATATTCAAGTTGGTGCATGCTTAAAACATATGCCTTTGAAACGGATGGTTTGTGGTTCGACTCTCATAAGAGCAAAAAAATAACATTACACTATATAGTCTCCTTAAATTTTAAATACATTAGGAAGATACAAAAACGATCATGTTTTGATTATGGAGATTATATATATTAGATTACCATGCTTTTGTATTAATGTATATAAGTTATTTATTATATTTTATATAAACTAATAAAAATATATTTCATATTTGTTGCAGGCTCATTTTTTTTCTATTATAATTAACCTCCTATCTTATGAAAATATTTAAAAACTATATAGGCTAAGAAAATACGGCCAAAGGCCGGGGAAAAGAGGGCAGAAGGCCCGTACAAAATAGGATATTTATTAATCCCTCCCCCCTCTTAGGAAAATCCTCGTTACGCCTATGACTCAAGGCTTCAATATATTTGCATAATTTCAATCATTTTTAGTAATTTTGTTTTATCAATTTATCTAACATAATAAATTCTGATGTGAGTTAACATCGAGAGTGTCCTGGCTAAGATTTCAAATTAACCAGCATCTAATATTTGTGTGGCTATGTAATTCAAGATTATTACTATAGCTGCTGAGAGCATATGATTGCATATTTTAGATAAGCAATCATGGTCAACTATGTAGTCGTTTATATGTCATTAATAATGGAAGATAATCTTTTATAAATTTAATATCTCACAATAATTTTCTCGATTACCTATCTAGCTTCCAACATGACATCTAAGAAAGAGGAAGCTAAAACAACCATATAGTTTTATGATTTGGATTGGTCGTTTATATTCTCTTCTTCATGAATTGTTGATTTAGTTAGGCCTACAAATTTTTCATTATTAATCCATTCTATAAAATATTGTCTAAAATAGTAACAGAGAGTTATATTAGTTTCATGACCTTTTGTCATTGTAAGCTGCTAAAATTATATTGCTTTATATGGTTTTTAAAAACCATTATCAATTGAGGCATATGTATGAATTAATTAACCTTTTTATCACTTGTAATTCTTTAGAAGCAAAATTTTTTAATATCAGCACTCAAAAATATTTTATCCTATATATAAATAGATTTTGTATTAAAAAATATTATGTTTAGTAATGTCTTGTTTTGTATTGTTTTTATTATTTATAAGCTATTTCATTTTGTATACATAGTATAATAAATGACAAAATATGAAATTCAGAATAATTGGTCATAGTTGTTAACAAATTTTAAAAAAGTATAATATATTAATATAAACCCAGTCAAAGACCAAGCAAAAGCGGGCCGAAGACCCGCAAATAAGGAGTATAGGGGACTTCGCCCTAAAAATTTTTTAGTAGAGCCCTTTGAGATTTTAAAGGCTAGCGACGTCCCTAACCCTGTGAGCAAAACATATTTCCAGAAAATTAAATTTTCAAATATTTAACATACGATTTGATTAAAATGACAATATTTATTAAAGTTTTGAAACATTTCGAATCTTTAAAATAGGTTTTGGAAGCAACCTAGTGAAAAATATAAAATAAACCTTTTCTCAAATTTTAAGAGTAAAACGTTTACTTTTTAAAATATATTTAATGAAAAATTCAAATTATATACTTGATATTTATAATGGCTATTCTAGATTTTAAATAAATATTATCCTAAATACAGTTTCAATTATTAACAAAAGTTAATGATATTTGTTTTCTTTCTTATTCCATTATATGAGTCATTAATTATATTTGCTTTACTATTTATTATATATATTTTGCCCACGAAATTATCTATCCTTTTCTCTTGATGGCTAGGTCAACTAAAATAAAAGAAAATCGAATAGATTGCAAATCATTCTTTCAAAAATCTCTAAAAAAAGACGGAGAAATATGGTATTTTATATGAAAGCTTGCTTATAGTAATTAAACTAGGTACCTGATATCAACTGAATGGTTAGCAAAACTGTACAGTTTTTTAGATGAAAATAAAAATTTATTTGAACAAGTTCTTGGCCCAATTGATAATTCATCCCTATTAACAGATGGTAAATAATTTTAAAATATGTGAACATAAATATTACTTAAAATAAAATTGTATATCAATTTAATTTAAGATACCAATCATATACTGAAACCAGGTTTGATTGAAGATGTAGATTTTAAAATTATTAATCAAGAAGATTGGGAAAAAATGAGAGATCACTTTGGAATATTAAATGACTCACATGCTATCAGTAGAGAAGTTGTTGACTTAAACAAACATAAAGGAATAGAATCAAAGCATAATCTTTTTCTAGACATATATCCATTAAAACTAAAAATGTTTAAATTTCCTAATATTGATATACTTGCTACCAATTCATATAATAAAAATGATTTGATAAGTACTGTTAGATTAAATTTTACCTGAAATGATATAATTAAAATATTAGGTAAAATGGAACAAGATCTAAAAACTTTTTTTGAGTTACCAAATGAAACAGAAGTTAGGTTATGGATGTCAAATAAATGTAATGTCATAAAAACCTATATACCTTTACCTAATATAAAGCAAACTATGTATGATGCTGGAATTACATCAGATCATGTAACTACTTTTTTTAATCACACATTTTTGATAGATTATCATTGTTTTTAATATAAAAACAATAGATCTGTAAAACTCAACCTATTGCAGAAAGTTAAAAATTTTTGTACAAGTTGCCTGACCACTCTTGTTGATTTTTTTTTGCCTAACCAATTATCATTTTTTTAAAGAATCTGTTCAGCCTAACCATTTAAAATTTTATGCAAAGTCTTCTCAGTCTATTAAATTTTTTTGAACTAATTTTTTGGCCATCACATTTTTATTATCTTATCTTTCCCCAATATCAATTAAAGCCCATATATCTTTGCACTATGACTATCTATTTCTACAACAACCATTTTATAAATCAATTGTTTGATATCTGTATTGTAGATTTATAATGGGATCATATCTAAAATAACTGATTGAATATAGTATATTATTTATAGATTTAGTATTTTAGTTAGGTATTTAGAATGCAATGTAATAAGCATATTGTAATTTACTTTCAATTAGTATTAATTAAAGTATTAGCTTGAAATTCAAAATAAGGTCATTCCATGTCAAATTTATCATGATTTGGCTGACACCTTTTAAAATTGTTAAAATTTTCTGGAATTATTTAGTAGGTAAAAAAATGAGAAAGCCATATTTTAGCGCACTAGCACACCTGGTTCTCGAGATACAGGGTATCAAAGGTGCATAAAATTGTGACTAGAATCTTAAAATATTTATAGTAAAAATAAATAAAATATATCAAATTGTAGGTAAAAGAATATCTCGAAAGGTCTATCATATTTTTTTTGGGTGGCCTATAAATTTTTCTGTTAACTGTTAAGTAGCAGACTAAATATTTTTGGAATAAATAATGGAAATTGTATTATGAATGATAGATTCCGATAATGTAACTTAAATGATTTAAATTATTAAGTGTCTTGTAATTAATTACAAAAGGATGAATGGTTACTTGTGCTTTATTCTAGTAAAATCCTTGTACTTCATCTTGAACCATAACGTCATAATTTTCACTATGCAATATATTCACTTTTATTTAATAAAAAGTTTTTGAAATATAAACAATTAAAATTTTTTATTTTTTCATACCTTTGAGGCTCTGTATCTCAGCAATCAGGTGTGCAAGCAAACTAAAATAAATGGCTTTTGTATTTTTTTTACCAATCTTAATAATTCCAGCAATTTTTAACACTTTATAAAGGGTAGGCCAAAAATAGGCTTTTTGATTAATTTGACTGGAATGGCACAAAAATTTGTGGCCAATTAGCAACAAAATTTTAACCATAATTTTTAGTTACGTATAGCATCCAAAAATTAAAATGTCAATTTTTACTACATATTTTGGCAGAGCCAATAGCATTGCTAAGGATTCACATTGTAAATATATTTATAAAAGGATTTGTAACCAATTTTTTTTTCTTATGATAGACCTTTGGAGATTTACCTAGATTGATATATTATATTTATTTTTACTATAAATAGTTTTTAAGATATAATCATTTTTAAAATTTTACAGATTTGAAATTCACTATTTTTCCCACCTTTGAAGCTCTGTATCTTGGGAACTAGGAACTAGGTAAAATAAAAGGCTTTCCCATACCATTCTAAACAATTCCAGAAAATTTTTAACAATTTTAAAGGGAATCAGCCAAAAATGTGCCATTTTTGATCGATTTGACACAGAATGGCCCTATTTCAAAATTTTAATTCTCAATTGATTTATTAAAATTTTATGATAAATCAGGGATTTGTAAGGCCCTTTATTGTGTGTCCCAGCCCAAATTTTTTTTTATATATGAATTGTGTAACATACCTATTAAATTTTTGGACCACTCTGGCTGGGCCCTATATATTTTTTAAAATTTTTTGCAAAACAGGCTTTTGGATGGGCTGAACTTTGCAGATCTTTGATATATACAATATTTATTGATAATAAATTCTAGAAATTATGCTCAAAGTTGATGAGTATTGCCAATTTTGACAGTGCATTTCTTTTTACAAAATAAATTATTTCAATAGTGCATATAAATACAGTAGAAGCATTTGTTTTTCTATAAAACGCTTTATTGATTAAATTGAAGTGGTATTTTTTTAATTTATAAAAAAGAACATTAAAAAATAAAATAAATTATTTTGCATATTTATCAGAGATCAGTGAAGTGTGATCCAGCATTCAAGCTGGACTTGAAAATTAAAAAAATATTTTTAAAACGGGCTTGTTGGGAAAAAATTTAACAAACTAGGCCAGGCAATTTCTTCATAAATTGGGGCCAGATATGACTATTTATATATAAAATATTACACAGAGCCTCACATATCTCTGATTTTTTTGTGAAATTTTAAAAGGCCAGCCTAGGCATTAAAATTTTAATACATTTTTTTATATTTCAAGCTAATTTTTATTAACATTATTTGAAAAGAAATTACAATATGCTTATGTATTTGTATTTTAAGAGCTTTAAGATACTAAATCTATAAATAATCATAGTAAATTTATAAAGACAAGTTATTTATAATATACAATTACAAATACACAATATAGATATCATACAAACAACTGAACTGTAAAATAATTAATCTATAAATAATATCATTAATTCAAAGACAAGTTATTTATGATATGATTCAATTACAAATATACTCAATACAGAGAGCAAACATAATTGATTTATAAAACTGTTGTAGAAGGAAATAGATAGCCATAGAGAAGAAATATGAGAGCCTTAAAAAAAATTAGATATTGAAAAAAAAAAATTGAATGATGGAAGATTTGCAAAAATTTAGGCCATGGGGAATTTTCAAAAATTTTCCAGGCCCGATTTTTCGTAAAATTTTAATGGGCCAAGTCGAAGATAATTTAAAAAAATTACAACAGGCCAGACAACTTTTGCAAAGATTTTTAATTGCTGAACTTTACAAATCTCTAATGCAAATTACCATTTGAAATGCCTTATTTGATTATTGCAGTAAAACACAAACACTTCAATTCGTTAGTACTATTATATTTATAGAGATTTCTAGGGGTGTACTGATATGGAGGCCGATCCGATCCGATATTTCAGATATTAAACTTATATCGGCCGATTCCCGACCCGTTATATATAATTTTGTCTGTAAAGATTCCAATGGTTTTAATTTTTAATATACTTTTTTAGTAGTATAACATCTATAATTTTATTATACCATAACATACGTCATTTAAATATATTATAATGATCAGTTATAGTTTATATTCAATTCAATTGCCATTCTAAAACTATATAAAATATTTTTATTGTTAAATCACTTTTATAGAATCTATATATAATTAGTAATAAACAAATATATTATGAAATTTGTAATATATATTTTAAATAATATTTAACATTAATATATCGAAGATTTCTTTTTAGAAATACCAAAATTTCCAATTTATCAGAGGTCAGCCTGCGGCGATGGTAACTGTCAGTATCACCAGCTTCATTAAAAACAGATTCTGAAGAGATTATCGCACACTTTTATAAACAGAATGATCAAAAAAATAACAATATGGCAGGATGTTTATTAATTAATTATTATTATTAAAAAATTATACATAAAAATGGATTTCGATTTTATTTAATAAATGATTTTAGATATGACTTTTTTTTTAAATTTTATAACATTTTATCTTTGTTAAAGACGCCATTTTATATCGGATAGGATCGGGAAATTTTATAATATTGGCTGATAACCGATATTTAAAAAAGTTGGAATTTCGGCCCGATCCGATAAAACATCCCTAGAGATTTCTTTAAGATTATGTTTTTTTAGTTAAATATAGCAAAAAAAATTTTAAACCCATTATATACAAAATATATAGTATATAATTATGGAAACTTACCGTAAAGGAGCAGAGGTATGGCCTCTAACTGTAAAACATCCATTAAACGAGGAATGTACTTATCAATTTAAAGCATATTCTGATAAAGAACATCAGCAAAAGTATCAAACCAATAATTTCATATATATCTATTATAATTAATAATTTGTACTTTATTATATATACTTTTTTAAAATCTATCAATTTTCTGAAAAAGAAAGAATAGATAATTAAAAATTAAACAATTTCTAAAATAAAGTTTTATCATATCTTATTTTATTGAACAATATAAAGTCTGCCTAGATTTCCAAAAATTATACCTGGATTATCAGGCCTTGTCAATTTAGGAAATACGTGTTTTATGAATTCTGCTCTTCAGGTACTTAATATTTTAATATTAATTTGCTATATTTTATTGTCTTATATAAATAATATTTACATTCAACGAGAACAGATAATTTAACAATATAATCAGAAATTAGACTGCACCCTTGTTAAATTAGATTGGATTAGTGCTAATACTTATTTCTTTGAAGATTATATTATTAATCAGATACCATTTAAAAGAAATTAATATTGATCTAGTAAATATTTTTGTTTGAATATATTATAACTAAGAAAAAATAAAATTTTAGCCTCCAACTCAACCGCGGCTGAGATACTGGTTTCTAAAGGTCAAAAAATGGGGCATTTTGGGCAAAATGTTCTCCCTTTAATTTTGGATATAATTGAGCTAGAAGTGTCATTTAAATTTCTTTGTATAGCTTAATAGTAGGCTTATATTGTTTTAAAAAATCTAATGTAAAAACCGGAAATGATTATAAAATCAAGTCGGCAGTTTTTTTTCTCAATTTTTTTATATATTGATATAGAACTAATTAATAAATGTGCAAAATTTTAAGTTGGGCCGAGCTTAGATGGCATTTTGATCGTTCATCAATTTTAAAAATTCATATTGACAAATGGAAGGCAAACACACCCATTAACACCGTATTACCATCAATCATCACACAAAAATTTTTTCACACCTTTTATCTCTAAATACCAGACAGATATATCAGTCAATCCACCTTTAGATTGCATTCAACTCCTTCAATTATCTGACAGACTTGGTGGTCATGAATGGTTAGAATCACTCCCTAGTCGCAACCTTGGTAATCTCTTATCAGATGAACAACTGAGAGTAACCATTGGTCTATGTCTTGCGATATAGTACAGCCTCATGCTTGCGTCAAATGCAAATCACCCGTTGATTCAAAGGGTAGACATGGCTTAAATTGCATTTTTAGTCAAGGGCGACATCAACGCCACTCAGTTGTAAACCATATAATAAATAGAAGCTTAACAGCTGCACACATTCCTAACAATCTCGAACCATCAAATTTATCTCAAGTAGATGGTTTAAGACCTGATGGTATGACAACCATACCTTGGGCCCTCGGCAAATCACTCATATGGGACTACACGTGTGTTTCATCATTCCCTTCAAACATAAATTTCAATTTAATAACACAGGCTGAAATTAAAAAGATAAACAAATACAAAAATTTTAAAAACTTTTTATTCACTCCAGTTGTGACTTCTACTAACGGGCATTTTTCGCCTTCAACATTTTTGTTTTTAAAAAATCTTGCTAATAAAATACGACTTTTCACAAATGAACCAAGAGAATTCCTTTTTATTCGACAAAAAATTCAAATAGAAATTTTTAGACACAATTATGGTTCCTTTTTGGGGACTCAATTATAGAATTTTATTTTTAATTATATAATTAAAATTTATAAATTATAATATTTTTAATTAGGTGTTATGTGAAATAAAAAAAAAAATTAAATATTTGATAAATTATTAATTATAATATATTTAAGCGAAAATCTTTTAAATATATTATGTATTTAAATAAAAGATTAAATTAGATAGTGGCGGATGCTTAAATTTACTTCATATTCTGCACAATTTAGATAAACATATACGTTGTGAAGGTCTAAATGTACTTCCTTGAATGATTAACCAGAATAAATTAGTAACGATTAAATTTGAATAAAAATTAAGAAATAGGGGCATTCCATCCTACCATCTCAGATTTTGCTAAAATTTGGTATATAAGTTAATGAAGTGTTGTAATTGACGAATCCAAAATATTAACCCCTTAACTCTACTAGAACCGGAGATATAGGCTCTCAAAGTAACTCTGCTTGATCATTTTTTGAAAAAAATGATTTTTAAAATTGGAATAAATTTAATATAAGATGCACTATAAATATATCTATCATAGCTCATTTTATAACCCTAAGTAAACTCTTCACGTATTTGTAATTAATTTTTTATTATAAATTTTCCCCATATTTCAGATATTGTAAAGGGTACCAAGATCTGTTCATTTTCAGAGTGGTAAAAAAGTTAAGTAGGAAAAATGCTTAAAATAAAAATACCGATACATGGCGTTAATAATTTTAAATATCTTAAAACTTAATTTTTGAAAATATAAGTCAATTTACCTTTTTTTATATTCCATAATATAATATTTGTTGAATAAAATCGCATTTTGGCAAAAAAATAAAATTTCCTCTAGATAGCGCATGTAATTTTAAATAAATAGCGAATTCTGATTAAAATTAATTATCGATTTTTCGATTCATTCTCCTAATAAATTTATCAATTCCAGTTGTCAATTTTTAAAGAAATTTATCAATTTTAAAATTAATAATACTATTTAAATGTGAACATGATATGTAAAAATCCATTTAATATAAAATATCATTTATGAAAAGGGATTAAGCAAAGTAATTCCCTGGATGACGGAATTTGCCAAATCTTTGATGCGCCATCCTTTTATTTAGTGAACAGCAAAACAAATTCCACCAGAATCTTAGAAACAATTTAGAACAAGATCATTATTTGGTATTATGTGATTTTTAAAATTACTCTTTCATACTTCAAGATGACAGAGTTACTACTGGGCCACTTCTAGGTCAAGTCATCCTACATAAGTTATGTAGCCATATCCGAGTCGATGGTTTATAATATACCTACTTATTTCATTTATTTCAAAAAAAATTAATAAACTTTCTAAAAAATCACTTTTTATCAGAGCCTAAATACATTTATTATTATTCCGATGGGTCCGATGGCCCAATATAAAAACAGGAAAAATTTCATAAATTTGTGTTAACATCAGGTAGACTTCGCTATCCCAACAGAATGACATTTCTTTTCTACTGCCTGGGAAAAGTGCTTGCGATGAAATAGAGGGGATTGTGAAACTCATGGTTGCACAGGCCAGTTTACAACGACCTTATGAAAATCAAATAAAATCTTGCGCGCTGAGGTAAATATAAAAAATATTCATTTTTCTTATTCATCCCACGATGAATGCCAAGAGGAGAAAGAATTTTTAAAGGATCGGTTTCAAAAGCTATTTCCAATCCTGGAACTCAAAAATTCTTGCAGTTTATCCTGCTAGCTTATCACAAGTAATTACTAAAAAATATTCCAGTGCTGTTCAAACCACACCACAAAGTATTCAAAATCGAATAGGCGAGATATCAACAATGATATAAGGGTATGTAACATTCTTTTATGATAATGAATGGTCGGTAACCTATATTCTACCGTTTTTCAGAAGATAATTTAAATATTAACAATGAATTTGAAATCATTAAGCAATAACCAATTGCAATCTCATACCAATTGTATCCGACACAATCGGTTTTTTAATCATGCCCTAACCTTCTTCAAATCCCTTGATAAAAAAATTCGCACCATCACTGGTGACCCACAGGAAGGCTTCTATCTTCGTCAGCGTGTATCTATTGATATATGCAGATCTAATTGTATCGCCATCCACGGCTCCCTTTTTTGACCTCCTCCCTCCCAACATATAATTTATTATATTAATTATATACGATTTACATTTTATAATATTTTATAAATACCATTTACACAATAATAAAAAAAATTTGACATTTAAAAAAAAAAAATTGAAACAACATATTCTCGAAAGTAAAATCAGATATTGACGGTTTATCCAAATTCTTGGACCCTAAAACAAGAAGAATTTTTTACGACTTAGTCCATGACAAGGATAGCAAAAAAAATGGTCAATGAAAAGGATGTTTTATCCAATCCAAATATTATAAACTGGAAGTGTTCTTGGAGACTATATTATAGATATTTTTGGAAAATTCCTTAACGTCTATTGAAAGAGTCGTAAGTTGCCTGGTAAAAATAGTTTTATTCAATAAAGGTTAAAAGAATTTAGAAAATATTCACTATTTTATCACAAAAAATTATATTCTAATCTTAAGGAAACTCATATTGATATAAAAGTAAATTTGCAGATTTAAGACCAATTTTTTTTTCTAAACTAAAATGACTTGTTTTCTTAAAATCAAAATTTAAAATTTATCAACAATTTTTTTTTCTAATGGTGTAGTACTCAATATATAAAATTTATAATCTTAGCCCCCATGAATTTGATTTTGGAATCAAAAATGACATTTTTTTATAATAGTCCAAGGCAAACATTACCAAAAGGTTAGCTGAAATGGCTATCTCTTCAGCGCCCATATAAGAATCAAATATTAAACATCTTAGATTCATTATATTTCTAAAGAACAAATATCACTAGATTAATTACGCATATGTAAAAGGTGAATATAAAAAATATCTTGTTGGCCAAACTCATTCCCAGAATACAAATGTTTTATACTTTGGAAAATTAAATAATGTTAAATAATTTGCATATTATGTAAATTATTGAATTCACAATATATTAAAATTAGATTTTGTCTTTAAGAAATTATAATAAAAAAATGACATGTATTTTTTAGTAGAATAATTCATCAAATTAAAGCCCCCCTTCCAAAAAAAAATACTTTTCTAGATCATAAATAACTATTCTTTTAAATATTAAACATGAAATATTTGATAACTTTTGACTTATATTACAATAGTGATTAATATCAAATATTTATTAAGAATATTTGCAATAGACAAATCTCATATTTCTTAAACTTGAGCTTGGTCCAATTTGAAATTTGCTTATTTATTTTATATCTATACATAAAAAAAAATTGATAGAAAAAAATGCCGATTTTATTTTATGACCATTTTCAGTTTTTACATTTAAAAGTATTTAACATTATTTAACTTTAAAGTCTACCTTTATGCTATAAAGAAATTTGAATGACGTTCTGGCTCAATAATATCCAAAGATATTTAAAATTTAATTGAGTGCATTTTTCCCAAAATACCATATTTTTTTGACATGCCCAAATCTGTAGTAGTGGGTTGCAAATCGTGTTTTTTCTGTTGAATTGTCATGGAATTCACCATATATTTATTTTATTTAAACTTGGGCTCTTGATAAATTTGGGCAACTCCCTAATTTGACCAAAATTTTGAGTCCCAAACAAATCCAAATTAGTTTTCCTGTATTAATTAGAGTTCGAAATTCGAAGGTTTAGGTTCTAAATATTTTTTTAAAAAATGATTCTGGTTCTTATAATAAAAAAATTAAAATAGTGTTTAAGCAATGTACCACCCCTTACCGAGTATTTCGTTAGTAAAAAGTTTTTGCAAGACATCAACGCTAACAATCCTCTAGGAATGAAGGGCCAGATTGCTAAAGCGTATGCAAAACTCATGGAAAGTATATGGACTAACAAACACATTTCCTTTTCCCTCAGGACTTTTAAAGTTTATATACCATTTACTCTTAAAAATAGTGCTGTAAAGTAGCGTCAATAAAAGTAAAGGCATTACCTTTTTAAAGGAAAGTAACGTCATTCGTTACTTGTTTTAGAAGATAAGGAGTAACGCGTTTATTTTTTTTAATTAGTGGTAAGGCAAAATGTTATTCGTTACTTAAAAAATTTTCTTAAAAATACGGGAATTATTAATAATTTAAGCCGAGTTTTTAATACATATCAAAAGTTCTTCATTTTTATTTATTTATTACATTTTTGTTGTTGAATTTTATACAATCAAGATTGTTAATCAATATTGAATCAATCAAGGCATGTTAATTTATATTATCGTATATTATGATTTATTTTATAAGAATGTCAATAGTACTTCTACAGATGAAGATGATTTGTCTCCACCTTGGCTCCAGTATGAACATTTTTTACACCAATAAAGAAAATTAAGGGCACTAAGTCTACACTTTGTAAATGTAGATTGTACCCTAATTCCAATTTTTTCAACCTCGATGTCTAGCACTTCAAATCGAAAAAACATGATAGTAAAAATATGAATTCAGACTTCTGACAAAGATATATAAAATGGATGAGGATCTGAGAATAAAGATTTTGTAAAAATGATCTAATATTTTTTTGAAAATTAAGATCATTCTTTAAATGTTTTAATTTTTATTTATTAAATATAATACAACTCTCCTATCCTCTGCACCAATTGAACATGTATTTAACTTATTGAAAGCTGTAATGGGTACTACTAAACGCTCTTGTTTATTTGATCAAAATTTTGAAAGTCAATTGTCAAAAATAAATTAAAGATTATTATCAAAAGGACTTTTCTTATAATAGATTATTTTTTTATAATTTTGTGTTTATTATCTATAGAAATAAAAAATATATATAATATTTAAGTAAGGAGTAACACGTTCCATTTTTCACAAGGCACGAGTATCAAACATAATTAGCGCGTTTTTTTAAAGTAACATTTACAGCACTACTTAATAACTTAGTTTGTTCTTCCAAAAAATTAGCTTATTTGTTTTTTTAGGTGATGTTTTCAATAGTAACTCAATTTATTTATTTGTATTACCATGGAGATGCATAATCAATTATTTAAAATTAAAAGGACATAGTCGGAGAGTTTGCGCCCACATTTTCTGGTTTCCAGCAGCATGATTCTCAAGAATTACTCATATTTTTATTGGACGGTTTGCATGAGGATTTAAACAGAATCAAGAAAAAACCTTACATAGATTTAAAGGAGGCTGAAGGGAGAAAAGATGAAGTATTTTTTTATTATACTTTCTTTTATTTTTGAAATTAATAATAGATTTTTTATTTTATAAGTTGAGAATTGTTAGCATATCGAAAACAAATTAATTTAAATCGCGATAATGATCTTAAAATATCAGTATTTTTTAAAATCAATCATTTTTATTATTTATATTTTAAAACAATTATCAGTTTTTCTTTCTAAGTAAAAGACATTTTATTTTATAACCTCTTTACTATGTTTTGTATATAAGTTTTAATTGCTAAATTTTTTTATTAAAAATAATTTTATAAAATTTTTTAATCCTGAAATTATTGTTTTGATACAATAAGCTATAAAAATTTAAGATTAAATTACTGAGATATTATTAATGAATATTAAAAAATATTTACATTTTATTTTATTTAATATTGTTTAAAAATACATAATTATTTCAATCTATAATCAATATTTATATTTTGAACTAAGATAAATTCATGCAATATAAATTTAAATTTAGTAGTTAATATAAAATTTTAATTAAAATAATCCGAAATATACTGAAAATTTATTCAAATTTTTTTATATTTGCAATTATAAAATTTATAACGTAAGTAGTTTTTACTAATCAGAATATTCCAAATTTAACAATGATTTATTGAATAATTTAACAGGAAAACAGTATTTTGGGGTAACAAAATGAATGCATGTTTGGTTGGTGACTTTTTCTCAAGAGGGTGGGAGGTGGGGGTATTTTCTCCCAAAGCATATTTTTAAAAAATTTATTATTATTTAATAGCCTTATTATTTTACAGAAAATTAGGAAGATATATAAATGCTTATATTGTTAGTGTAGCCGATGCCATTTTTCGAGCCGATACCCAAACCGATATTAATACTATATCAACCGATTCTTATAACATGAGCATGGGTAACACATCTGTTGTAGATTTATATATGTAAAAGAAAAATAAAAGAAATATTCAAAATAAAAAAAAATTGTGATAATCCAAAAATCGATTTTTATTAACCCTATCCAGATTTACATCCTCTTTTTAAAAAAAAATTTTTTTGCCCTGAGTTTTTTATTTTACACCTATATTTTCCAAACCTTATCATTTTACCTCCCGTTTTGGAGTGTCTAGGTCGAGCCAACATGTTTTTTCGATTTTTTTTTCTGGGTAATGGATTAAATATGGCTTCGTTCAACATATATAGCAATATACTAAATAATACTCAAATTTTTATTAAATGCAATATCGCCCATTTTTAATATAATAGTAACTTTAACTTTCATCACTGAAACCTTTAATTCTAATAAACCTAATCGAGAGTGTTGAGTTGATTTCAGAAGAAAAATCTATTCCAAGCTGGGATTGAACCAACCTGTTGCTGCGTCCTATACATATAATCACTCCGCCATATGTGCCATTTAAAAAATATTTTGTACATAGGATAATTATTGTCAAATATTTTAAAAAACTAATGACGCTGATACTATATATCTTAACACTTTTTTCTATACAATCATCCGTTCATATAGTTAAAGGTTATTCCAAAAAGTGTTGTGTTGCAAACATTTTAAAATTTATTAAATAATTTATAGTTTTAATCATATATATTAAATGTCTTATCAACACTTATCTTTATTTTCTATCATTTTCTCTCTTCGTTAAATTTACTCTTCTTTTTTAAAATTAAATTTATTTATGAATCGAATTACAACAATATTTATGATGTTACAAGGATGTCGCTAGGGAGGCGTGGAAACATTTTAAAATGCGAAACGACTCCATAGTCGTAGATACTTTCTACGGGCAGCTTAAATCGACTCTGATTTGTCCCGTGTGCAACAAGGTATCGGTTACCTTCGACCCCTTTTCCACTTTATCAGTCCCGTTACCCTATAAGAAAGAAAGGGCAATCAAAATCAAATTAGTACTCTACGATTCTGAAAGGCCACCGGCGCAGGTTTATTTTGTCACTTTTTTCATTCATTTAAGTTGAAACTATTTTTCTTGTAAGTTGTTGCTGATAATTTGATTACAATTTATAAAGAATTACAGGATGCTTAATTTTATTATGTTATTCAAATATATTTTATAAATTTATAAAAAAAGTGTTATTTATATTTAATGTTAATATTTTATTTATCAACAAATAAACATATTATATGATATATATTTTTTATTTATATTATTATATTATGAAATGAAAAATGGATTTCTTTTATTGATTATTTTTTTAATAAAAAAAATGATATGCTACTATTGTAATATTATTTTTGTTACAATTTATTAGTGATTTTCACACGCCCAAAATTTTAAGCAAAAAATATTTTTTGAAGTTCAAAAAGATTTTTAAACATATTTTGATAAAAATTTTAAAACTTTCTTGAGGAATTCTTTTGTGAATTTTATTATAAATAAACAATCTTTTAGGTGAAATCTTTTATAGTTTTTTATCATTTATGTAAAATTATCTATTTTTTAAGTATATGGAAATAGGTGGGTTTTCTAAATAGTATTTTTTAAAAATATTTTTATTTAACTTATTTATGTATATGATCTTTTTAAGGATAATAATTTAATCTGACAATTTTTATATTCGTTATTGAAGATGTTCCTTGGAAAAATGACAATTATCATAATCGGTATTTTTAAACATATTAGATTTTATTTACGGTAAAATATGTATTTTTAACATGTTAAATTAAAATTTTAATTAAGATGCACCATATAAAAGTGACAATTATCATAATCGTTATTTTTAAAGTTTTTTAAATTTTTTTGACGTAAATCGGTTAAAATAAGTATTGTTAACATGTATTAATAAAACTTCAGTGAAGATGTACCCTAGATAAGTGACAATTGTCATAATCCTTATTTTTAAAGTTTTTTGAATTTTTTTGATGCAAATGGGTAAAAATATAGATTGTAAACTTGTTAAATTAAAATTTCATGAAGATGTACCACAGAAAAGTGACAATTATAATAATCGTTATTTTTAAACTTTTTTTGACGTATATGGGCCAAAATAAATATTGATAACATGTTTAAATAAAACTTCAGTGAAGATGTACCCTAGATAAGTGACAATTGTCATAATCGTTATTTTTAAAGTTTTTGAATTTTTTGAAGCAAATGGGCAAAAATAGAAAATGCTGACATGTTAAAATAAAATATCAATGAATATGTACCATAGATAAGTGACAATTGTCATAATCGTTGTTTTTAAAGTTTTTTGAAATTTTTTGATACAAAAGGGTAAAAATATAGATTGTAAAAATGTCAAATTAAAATTTCATGAAGATGCACCATATAAAAGTGACAATTGTCATAATCGTTGTTTTTAAAAGTTTTTAAATTTTTTTGAAGCAAATGGGCTGAAATATTAATTGCTAACGTGTTAAAATAATATTTCAGTGAAGATGTACCCTAGATAAGTGACAATAGTCAACCGTTATTTTTAAAGTTTTTGAATTGTTTGACGCAATTGGACAAAATATAAATTGTTAATGTTAAAATAAAATCTCAGTCCAAACAAAAAAACAAATCGATATTTTCATTCTCATAATCGTTGTTCCTTTTATCCAGCTTAAAATTTGATATAAATATGCAAAGTGATTATTAAAGATAGTTGTAACCTATGTTAAATTCTTAACTTTTAAGATATGGATTCACAATCTTATACCTTTAATTAATTGATTTTAATTCTACATTATAAAAATGTATAACCTTGCACAGTTAGCAAATATTTTTGTATACTCGTGGTAAAATAGTCCTGAGTCTGAATTCAGGGTAGGATTTTTATCAGAGTTGTTAAAGTATCTAGATACAAGTATCTAGATACTGTATCTAGATATAAAAATGTAGTATCTGTATCTGTATCAAGATAGATTTTTTAGAAAGGTATCTGTATCTAGATATTTTTTTAGAGGTATCTGTATCTGTTTTTAGATACTTTTTAAGATACATTTTATATACCCCTTTTTTTATTGTAAATAAAAATATTTGACTGTAAAATTTATTTTATTTCATATGAGCTTATGAAATAAATAAATATATATATATTATATATTAATATTTATTAATACTATAATAAAGAATTATATATACATAAAATATTAAAACTTATATATAAAAAATATATATAAATATTCATTAATTTAAATATTATGTCCGAGTTTATCAATAAACCATACAAATTTTAATATTACAATATGGAAATGGTAAATTTTATTTTATAACTAAATTTTTAAGTTTATATATTTATTTAGATCTATATCGATGAAGAAGAGGAAGCAACAAGTTCTATTGCTTTACCATGGCCAAATTGAGCATATTTTAAAATAATATCTCAAAACAAAGAAAACAATTAATTCTCTGATGGTAAAAGGTTTGCCGTGTCTACCTAAAAATACAAAAATATCCGTCAGTATGACTTCAACGTGCAATATCGTGAAGCAAAGGGTATAGATATTATATATTTAAAATTCTAATTAAAATTTTAAGAGAAAATATCCAACCTTGTTAACAAAAATAAAAAAGGGGAAGGAAAATAAAATACTAAAGAAAATATTGGCAAGGCTCATCCTCCAATAATATTTTTGCTAAAAGACCTTTGACTTTAACTCAAGGCACTTTAGATGATTTAATTATTGCTTTTATTATAGATGGCATGCAGCCATTATAAAAGAAAACAATTGATACAAAGATTAGCTGGTGAATTATCAAAGTCATCAACTGACTGCAAGCAAATAACCTGCCAAAAAAAACAAATAATTTAATTTCAGATTTTTTTCAGTACCCTACAGCAGATATAATTTCTAATAATGATTTAAATTTTGATAATCAACAAATTTTAAATAACTTTTTCAAAAATAAATGTAGAGATTTTAGCATTTTTAAAGAACTGATATAAAATTGTTATTTATTAAATATAACACTACAATTCCTTCAAGCGCCCCTGTGGAAAGACTATTTAGTGTTGCTAAAAATGTCTTCACAGATAAACGAGGATGCCTAAATGATCAAAATTTTGAAAATATTTTATTACTGAAATCTAATAATTATTTAATCATATATTTTCATATATTATATTAAAATTATAATTTTAGTTATATTCTGATAAATGTTATATCGCGTCAATAAATTTTTAGCTCATTTCATGAATTTTCACAATATAATATTAATTTAGGTTTATGCAAACCTATAAGAGCATAAAAAAATGTATCTGTATACAGATACATTTAAAAATTGTATCTGTATCTTGATAACTTTTTAGACGCTGTATCTGTATCTAGATCCATTTAAAAAGTATCTTTTAACAACTCTGATTTTTATAGAAAGAACTTAAAAACCATATGAATATTATTTAGTAATATGATACAATCAACATCCTATAAATTTAATGTTAAGATTTTATTATGGTTAAAATGGATCACAATTTATATTTTAACCCATTTACATCAAAGAACTTTAAAAATTACGATTATAAAAATTGTCACTTTTCAATGGTATATCTTCATGAAATTTTAATTTAGCATGTTTACAATCGATATTTTAACCCATTTGCAACAAAAATATTCAAAAAAACCTTATTAACAACGATTATGACAATTGTAACTTATCTATGATACATCTTCACTGAAGTTTTTTTTAACATGTAAGCAATTTATATTTTTGCCCATTTGCGTCTAAAAAATTCAAATAATTTTAAAAATAACGATTATGAAAATTGTCACATTTCTATGATGCATCCTCATGAAATTTTAATTTAACATTTTTACAATCTATATTTTTACCCACTTACGTCAAAAAAAGTTTAAAAATAATGATTATGACAATTGTCACTTATCTAGGTTACATCTTCACTGAAATTTTATTTGTAACATGTTTGCAATACGTATTTTAGCCCATTTACGTCAAAAAAATTCAAAAAGTTATAAAATAACAATTATGACTATTGTCAATTTTCTATGGTACATCTTCATGAAATTTTAATTTAACATGTTTACAATCTATATTTTTACCCATTTGCGTCAAAAAAATACAAAAAACTTTAAAAATAACGATTTTGACAATTGTCACTTATCTAAGGTACATCTTTACTGAAGTTTTATTTAAATATGTTATCAATACCTATTTCGGCCCATTTACGTCAAAAAAAGTTTAAAAATAATGATTATGATAATTGTCACTTATCTAGGGTACATCTTCACTGAAGTTCTATATAAACATGCTAGCAATATTTATTCTAACCCATTTTGGTCAAAAAATTCAAAAAACTTTAAAAATAACGATTATGACAATTGTCACTTTTCAATGGTACATCTTCATGAAATTTTAATTTACATGTTTATAATCTATACTTTTACCCATTTACAACAAAAGAATTCAAAATAAACAACGATTATGATATTGTAACTTATGGTACATCTTCACTGAAATTTTATTTAAACATGTTAGCAATACTTATTTTAGCCCATCGTCAAAAAAATTCAAAAAAGTTATAAAATAACGATTATGACCATTGTCACTTTTCAATGGTAGATATTCATGAAATTTTAATTTAGCAAGTTTACAATAAACTATAAAAGATTTCACCTAAAAATTGTATATTTATTATAAATTTCACAAAAGAATTCCTCAAAAAAGATATATTTACAAAGAAGATTTAAAATTTTTATAGGTTCAAAAATCTTTTTGAACATCAAGAAATATTTTTTACTTAAAATCTTGGGCGTGAAAATCACTAATAAATTGTAACAAAAATAATATTACAATGCATATCATTTTTTATTAAAAAACATCAAATAATAAATAATATGTTGTTTTCTTTTAAATAAATGCATTCACAATATATTTATTGTTTCGCGATAATGACTTTGCGCAAACATATTCGCGAAAAAAAATTTGCTGTAAAGTGTTCGCGTAAAATGTTTCGCTAAAATGTATTCGCTCTAATAAATTCGCGGTTAAGGTTTCGCGGAAATAAATTCGCGACAATGGCTTCTCGAAATTGTCTTCGCTATAAATGTTTAGTGGAGATAAATTCGCAGAATTGGTTTCGCGATTTTACCTTCTCTATAAAAACTTTTCGCGATAAATGACATTCGCGATAAAGTGTTTCGCGATAAAAGTTTCGCTGAATTGACCTGATACGATATATATATCATAATTTTATTATTTAGTGCCGCATTAATGTTCCCAAAGATGGGACTATATCAGACCTTTGCGCTGTTATAACCGAACATACTAAGATACCTGCAAATCAAGTATCGATTTTATATTATAATTCTATATATTTTGTTATTTAACACTTTAAATAGGAAAAAAATTATTATTGTATGAAATAAAACTCTTCTAAATATCGACCAAAACGTGACCGCCTTTGAGTGGCCAAATGTTGATCACTACTATCAAAATTAACAAATTTAATTTTTGATGATATATCATTTTTTTATTATTAATTATTATATAAAAAATCAATTAAAATATTTATAACGGAGTTTTTACTACATATGGTAAAAAAATATATATTTAGATTCTCGTTGCCAAAATTACCCTGAATCGGTTTCACAAAGTATTCAATTTATCGGACAGTGTAACACTCATCAATTCCAACGATGATATAGTCATGTTTATTAATTATCCCATTAATGATAGGTCAATGGCTGACTGCCAAACATATTAATTTTTTTAATCAATGACCACCTCTATGTTTCCCAAAATATATTATGAAGGTTTCACTATATTTACCATTTCCATATTATATCTTAAAAAATCTAAGTAATAATAAATTTTTTAATAGATATTATTAAAATAAAATATATTATTTAAAAGTTATTAATGAATATTTATTATTCAATAACAACTAATAAACAATTATAAAAATAAAATAACATAGATACGAATTTCCGACGGATTTTCAAGATAAAAGTTTAATATGTTTGCCTGTTTATCAACAAATCGATAAAAGGTTTGTGATAGAAATGATGATGTTTTTGATTCTTTTATGTTAATGATCTGTCAGAGATTTTGAATCAGATTTGGGTTCAAGAATTTGATTCTTTTGTTGGAATTTTATAAACTCAAATAATAGTCACCGATTTCCAAAATGTGTCCGAACTATAGTTGGGTAAATACTATATTTTTAGCCAGATCAAATTTTACGGCTAAACCAAGTTTTTAGCCAAAAACTATCATTTTGGCCTCGGGATTTTTCTAAAAAAGATAGCAGCTCAAATTTGAAAGAAACTAATATAAATTAAAATGAATATTAATGTATTTTCTCTCAGGTGCCTGAAGATTGAGCCGAATTAGCCGACATTTAGCCATCCCAACTATAGTCTGAACCCACTTTGCTCCCAAACGCTGGGTTTGAGGGGTGATCCGAAAAATGGCTTCTGCTTGAAATGTCCAACAAAGCAATTTCAAATATTTGAACCCCGAATTGTATTCTTTAAGCTTAAATTTATATCAGTAGCAGTTGCTCTCTTATCATATAGGTTTGCTAAAGAGTCGGATATTTTTGATTTATAGCGTGTTGCTGCTCTCCATAGCAATATAATACAACATGCATAATAATATCGCGAGATAACCGTACTTTAAATATATATACCGCCTTTGCTCAAAATATTCTTGTTTTTTTTATTTTGAGATCAAAATAGTATATTTAACATATGTATATATTTTACTCGAAACAGCATGGAATTGAAGGGCAACGAATCGGATACTAATGCTAAAATTCTTCCTACCAGTTTTTTCTTACCACCCTTTATCATCATGGTCCCGAGTGACAAGTCTAACGAAAATAATATTCGCAAAATTTTGATGGACAGAATGAAGTTTCTATACCCATTTTTTGATATTTTTCTATTTATTTAAATTTATTTTTTAAAAAAACGAATGTATAGAAAATAAGATTCATTGTTATTATTGTTTCTTATTATCACTTTAATATCCAGACTACTGGGTCATTCCATATAAAATTGATTTACCATTCTTGAAAATGAATAAAATTTTGTATATGGTTAAATAGGGGGTATATTTATCGAACTTTCAGAAATTTAGCTCATCTAGACCCGGAGTTATGGGCATGGTTGCCAGATTTTCTGAATTTTTACTTTAGTTTACGCCAAAATGGGCCGCCTATTAATTTACGCTCCCGATTCTTTTATAAATTTTTTAATATATAAAATAATTAAAATAGCTTAACCAGAAACTTGCACTACCATTTTTTATTTTAAAACAATCATACATTAAAAAAGGCCGCTTGTTTTTGTTTATTTTTTTATCCCCTTTTTGAGAAATTTGAGAAATGTAAAACAGAATTCTAAAAAAATATAAAAAATATTTCGATCTCCAAAGTTTCCAATTCAAAATATAATAATAATTTTTAATATCTTTGAAACTTAAAACAAATTGTTATGATAAATCATATATTAATTGCTCCCTCTGATTCTATGGTGAAAATGATTCATATATGTGAAATAAGTATATATAACTTTTGGATGTTTTAATTGCAATACAAAAATGTTTAAAATATTCACTTATAAAGGCCGATCTTCATCAGACACTAGTTTTAGGCAGAGTTGTTAAACGCTACTTTTAAAAGTAGCGTGCTACCGCTATCGCTATTTGTCAAAAAAAGTAGCTCGCTATTAGCTACTCTTTTTATAAAAAAAAATTTACAAATTTTTTATTTTTTGCTTATAATGTTATTGTATAGTAAATATATAAAAATTATAGTTAGTTTTGTTTATAAAAAAATTTATGTAATAAAAATAAATATTTATGGTAATTTGTTGCATTTTAATAATAAAATCATTTCAATATTATCATCCCCAAGTCTAGAGTGACTATCAGAAAGTATAAGTTTTGCCTTACTAAATAAACTCTCGACACTAGCACTTAAGGGTAAGGGCGTATTTAATCTTATATACATATTTTTAATATAAGATAGATTATCAATAATTTTATTTGCAAGTACATCGTATGTCTGGCATCCTATTATCATTTTGAGGACAAATGCCACAGATCTTCTTTTTAATGTCCTAGGGTCTAGCCAATGACCTCAAATAAGCTCAAAAATATTTAATGAGATAAATTTATAAATATAAATAAGTTTTTACATTCTGTTATGTGTCCAACTATCTACCTTGGTGCATATATATGATATCTCTGATAACTATACTATTAGAGCATCTTTTATCATTTTAAAGTTATCTGCTATTTTATTCATTAGTGTCTGGCGAAATAAAATTGTTACCAGGCGATAGAGTTTTAATCATCATGGTAAATGATGGATTATCAACCAAGGACATTGGCTGAACTGTATAAATGATAAAATCAACAATAACTTTATCAGCCAATTTCTGAGAAATATTGTCATTTGCATTATTAATTAATTTGGTTTGAATTGAATTAGTCTTTTTGGATGTAGAGTCGCCTATACCAAAATAATTTAGATGTTTCTCCATTTCCTTAAAACTCATGAACAGTCTTATAAAATAAATATTATTATAATGTAAAAATGACAATTTACCTTTAGGTGTTTCTTGAGGTTATAGCTACTGGATTGATTTGAGGAAATATTATTTTTTTACATTTTAAACAAATAAATTTGAAGCCAGTTTTGGATTATATATTTATTTTAAAAAAATTTCAAATCTAGGGAATGGGAAATTGTATTATAGCTATTAAGAACATTTTCTTCCCTGGTATCTTCCATTTCATTAATATCATTGTCTGAATAACTTTCAACGATTTGGATATCCATAGGCGATGACATTTTAAATTATTAACACGTGATTTAGATTTATAATACAAATGAAAATATAAATTACAAATGGAAAAAATATTTCAATTTCAAAATTAAATAATAAATCATAATTAGTTATGATATTATATTTAAATTTTCATGTTTATACTTACCTACATTATATTTTTTAAAAGTAGTTAAGTAGCGGCTACTTAACTACTTTCAAAAAAAGTAGCGCACTAAAAAATTAAATAATTGCAAAAAAAGTAGTCGCTATTAGCTATAGCTAACAAAAAAGTTAGCGCGTAGCGCGCTACTTTAACAACTTTGGTTTTAGGAATCCTAAATTTGGCCCCCCAATTTTTGTAATATTTTAAAAACAATTTAGTCGTTAAACCAAGGACTTCTTCTCAATCCACTTGGAATATGAATTCATGACAAAAAAATGCGATTTTTTGTCCAAATCAAAAAATTTATGAGGACATGTTTCCACGGTCGACTTGACTTTGGCCACACATTACCCAACTCTTTTTAGGGCATGAAGGCACAGGTATTACACAGAACACATTTTTTAGTGATCATTTCAATTTCTATATTCATACCGGGCCACCACATATATTCACGAGCCCAATTCATTTTATCTCTGCCTTGATGACCGGCATGTTGCAAACTTATAATCTTACGTAATTTAAATGGAATTACTGAACGATACCACGCATTGCTCAATCTTCTACCAGTGACAATTCTTTTTGTATCCTTTTATAAGAATTATGATTTTTTTTTCCACGGTTTTACACCCGTTAAATACAAGTTTATCAATATTTTTTGGACATGGTTCCAATGTTAGTTTCTTTATATTACTATTTATTAAATAATAAAATTATTACCGATAATTCATATTAATCTGTATTCTAGGATATTTGTTCCTTGTTAAACTACTCGATTTAGCCAATTTTATGATATAGCTAGAATAATATCGCAACCCTCGAGATTTCGTTAATTGTCAAAATCTTTCTGCCATCTATGAGCAAAATCTCCAGCTTTCGTAATATTTTTTTAACTAAAATATTAGGCTAGTCGTTTTTAAAAATCGAGCCATTTAACAACATTATATTCCTCAATTAGTATAAGCATGACCAGGATCGGATTTTTTGGAATGATATGAAAATATCGTTATGTCAATTACTATATTATCACTGTTCATGATGTAATATAATGTCCTTTACATTTAACGCGGATAAAAAGTCGCTCTATTAGCCTAGAATTTTTAATTATTACCGGCGTAAAGTTATCCGATTATAATTTCACGAGCGTAATTTCCTGTTTGGAAGGATTCAAGATAGGCTTCGTATCACTGTATGGGTCATTACGTATATGTATCGACGATGATGGTCATTCAAAACACTGTTTATATTTGGACAATGATATTTAACCAAATGCCCGAATATTTATGGGATTATAGTGGCCGACAAGTCCTGGCACAAAATTAACATGATTTAAAAATTTTTTTTTATTGTGTACTATGCCCAACACATTTATATTATGTTGTAACATTTTTTGGAATATAAAAATGCTTGACATGTTAAGAGTAGGCTTGTGTTTTAATAAATCTAAACTCATCTGAAAGATCAACCTAGTATTTTGTTAATATTTAATTAATTTGATTTAAAAAATGGGTAGAGTTATATTTATTATGGAATAATTTTACATAGAAAATTGTATTCATTATTATAATATTCACGATTTGAAATTTACTTTTTGGTTTTAAAATAAAGAAATATGCTCGTAAAATATATCGCCCTTAGCGGCGATACACTTATATTTTTTTAAAATTCATGTTCTTGAGAGTTCACAGCAGGGTTGGCAAGTCGGTCAATTGACCAGTCAAATTCAGTCAATTGACCTGGTCAAATACGGTTAAATACTCTAAAAAATTTAAAGGAAAAATAAATTAAATATATTTAAAAAAGGGGAAAACGATGAAAATACATGTGATCACAATGTTTGCTTATTTTTTGGGTCCACAATATCAAGAGAACTCACTAAATTAGTGAAGTATGTGATATATTTTACAAGGTAGTGATGACCAAAATATTTTAAGGGATATAATTAATTTCAGAAGCAAAAACAGAATGTTTAATATAGCAAATTATGTGGAAAGTAGTAATTTCCAGAAACAATCAATTCCGACCTCAAGTTAATAGATTAAACTTTGCCCACCCTGTCCATTAAGAGACTAACAATTCCTAGTTCTACTTCTTTAGAAAGAAATAGATCGATTTGGGTTAATATTCTTATGAAAATAGAAATTAATTGAAGATCTAAGACATCAGGAAAATTGATTAAAAAATATTTAAAAAATGATAATATTGAATATGAATCAGAACAAGACTCTGCTACAGATAGCTACACGTTAGTTATTGAATGACAATAAATTTAAAAAATTAATATTATTCAAAATAAAGTTAATATTAACTTAAAAAAACATATATTCGAATTTGACCGGTCAAATATCGGTTAATTGACCGAAACGTATTTGACCGGTCAATTGCACAACCCTGGTTCAAAGCATATAATATTGATTAAAATGCTATTAACAATTCCCATAACTGCTTGTTCTGCAGAACGATGTTTTCATGACTAACACGTCTTAACACTTATTTAAGTTTGATGAAACAGCAACGTCTAATCACAATTTAAAATTAATAAAAAAGAAGTTAAAAAAACTTGATTTAAATGTCATAATCAATATTTTTATAAATAAAAATAAAATAAAGACATTTTACCTTAAAAAATATAAACATTTATTATATAAATATCATAAAAAAAATTATTAAATATTATTTAATCATTATATTATTAAAAACTTTAAGGGAAATAATAAGTAATATTTTCTATACAAGATTAAAATTTTTACAATTAATTAAAATTTGATTAACTTTTTTTTCAAGTTTTGATGAACATAAAAATATGATTTCAGATTAAAATCTGATAAGGATACAAAAAATTTGACGAGGATCTGAATGAAGATTCTTGTAAAGATGGTCTTAATATTCTAATAACAATGGCCCTATAACAAATCCGTAATCATCATAAAGTTTTATTTTATTATTTCATATTCTCCAAAAAAATCAATATAATATATTATAATAAATAATATGATATTCCATTTTTTATCGAATATAATTTATTTATCAACGTCTATATCTGGCAACAGATCTAATAAGTTTTTTTCAAGATAATTCTCAAATACAATACAACCCTCCTGCTGTAGTTGAGCTTGTAGTACAGAGCTGTGTTGAGCATTAAATATTTTTGTTTATCTGATGAAAATTTTGAAAATCAAATGCTGTTAAAAATAAATAAAAATGATTACAAGAAGTTCTTATAGTATATTATTTCTGTATAATTTTTTTTATTAGGAAATAAAATAATAAATTTATAAATATTTTGTAAGTAACGCGTTACTTTTTTAAATCGTAAGTAACTTGTTACGTTTTTCAAACTTAACGAATAACACTTTTCTTTTTTGAAGTAACGTTTACAGTAGAGATTTGCGTTCTGGTCGGATCTATTTAAAAAAAAAATCTGGTTCGAGCTGGGTCGGGTTTAATATTTTTAAAATAATTCGGGTCGTGTTGGGCCTTAGAAATTTTTTTAAATATATCTAAATTTATTAATTTTATGTTGAATTTTTTATGTAAAATAAAAATATTCGATTTTAGTTATAGAAACTAGACGCCATATAACATATATCATTTATTTTGAGTAATTATAAAAATTAATTTATACATTAAAAATATTCGGGCTGGCCCGGTAGGGCTTGAAAAATTAGGTACGATGCAGATCATTAGTTTACAGTACTAATATCAATTGAGATATTGTATAAATTTGCTATTTTTAATTAATTAATAATATAATTTTTGAGTGTGCAATATTACACGTGCAATTAAGGTAACCTCGTTGTTTATTTTATAAAAAAAATTTTACATTGGAATCAGCAGTTTTAATGTAAATATATTTAAAAATTGGATTAATTATATGAAAATATTGGCCAATCTCATATTTTGGTCAAAATACCAATATCGGTGTCTCGATATCCTTGACATTGGTGCATTACTAAAAAATAATTATTTTTTTTTACTTTATACCCAGATATCCGGTTTCAAGATCTTAATAGGTTGAGCCGATCTTTAATTTATCAAATAATTTAAAGTTTAATGATTAAAATAAATAATTATTTTTTTGATTTGGTAAGTAATTGTTAAAAAAGTATTTATAATTTTTTTTATAGCTTATGCAAATTTATTTTTTTTAACATATAAAATTATAGGAGATATGTTTCAAAACCTAGACGAGATTACGAATGGTGGAAGCAAGACCCCTTAAACAATAGTTTATTATTAATAATTACCAATGAAATTTTATGTTCTTAGTTATTTGTAAAAGTTACTATTTTTGGTTTGAATTAATTAATATAAAAGTCGCCATTTTGATAATGGAAATCGCGTGTCCCTTAATTTTACCAACATACCAAAAAAAAATTACTATCGATTAGTTAGAATCTGGAATGCTCTAAATTATCTGCCGTTGATTACTTGTTACAGGGTTCCTCAATTGATTACCAAAATAACAACTTAGATATTTTGTCTTAATTCTTTATTATATTCTCTTCTAATTTATGTGGATTATTTGTTGTTGAAAATCCCCCTCTCCCTTCAATTGGTTTGTTGATCTTGTTGGTTTAAAGGTTTTTCTTTTTAATAATAATGGATTAAAGAATTAATAGCTCATTATATTCTTAAAAATTGTGTATACAAATATTAATTTTTTTGTTGGAAAAATATAGTTCCCATTTCTGACCTCCATATGCCTCCCAACATGTTTACCATTAAGGTTGGTGACATATATGGCAACGTTGATTTTACTTTAGTCGAAAGTTCAGACTTGGCCAAAATGGATACTCAGGTTAATATCAAATTGGGGACTAAGGTAGAACCAAGTTCGTTTATAATACTCGATTGGCACCCTCTGGTAAGACAAATTTATAATTATATTCTATTATATCATTTTTTTAAATTAACTAATTTAATAAGGCACAATATTAATATTTACTAATTTCGCCCCTTCCTTTTATCAGATAATACAAAAATATAGACACTGTCCTTTTTTAGAAGCTTATTAGATTTATTTATAAAACAACTTATAATTTTTTGTATGAATGCTAGGCAAAAGCTAAATTTGTTGACATTGAAACTGCCATGGACGTCGTAATTCTAGACAACTTATTTAACACCCCCTATTCCATAAAAACCTGTTACCCCTATCCAGATCCTCATACTAAAAAATCCTGGGAACTGAGCGAGTGTTTAGACTCTTTCGTTTCTGTTGAACGACTTTCCGAGCAGGATAGCTGGTAATAATGTGAAAACCCATTTTAGTAATATTTGTAAAAATGAGTCTCATTTAGTTGTTAATTGGATTAATTATATGCAGAGGTTGGTTGGAAGCATTGTTAATTTTGTCTTGATGATAATCGATAATAAAGATAAACAAATCAACCGATTATTAATACTTATACCATATAATATTATTTACACACTTTAAATTAAAATAGGTACTGTCCTCATTGCAAAAAACACCAACAGGCTACAAAAAAATTTGATCTCTGGAAGCTACCTCCTATTTTACTTATCCACCTTAAGCGCTTTTATTACAACCGCTTTTTCAGGGAAAAAATCAATATAGCCATCGATTTTCCTATCAAGTAACACCCCCCCCCCCCACTCCCCCATTTATTTCATACTTATATACACTCTATTAGGCCTATTCACATACCAATCAAATAATAAATTCTTCATATTCGATTGATTAGTGAATCGATTAATTTACCATATGTATTCGATTTATATTATTCGAATAATTCGTTTTTTACAAATATTATAAAATAACTCGTATAAAATATATTGAGAGAATATTTTTTATTGTACCTGTAATTTTAATCAGAAAAAATATAATATATAATGAAGATGCGATTAATTAGAACTTAAAATTCATATTTTATAATGCCACAGCAATTTTTAAGACAAAGAGTTTTTCTTAATGTTTTTTCTTTATGACATGATTTTTTAACTGCAAATTAATTTCAACTGAAAAAAGTCTTTCGCTAACAGTTTATGTATACTTTATTATTCTTATTACCTATTAAATTGATAATTTATCAATAGAAATGACAAATGGTTAAATTTTTTTAATAAAACAAATTATTTGAATGATTATTTATTCTAAACGAAGCGAATAATCGATCCTTTTATAAGGCTTATTCTCTATCAACTCTTGTATTACAAGCTATTTTTTATAAGGGTGAATCAGTATCACTTTTCCTTTACGAATGGAATGGATAGTGTATGATCAGATTTTAATAAAAACACTTAAATTAAAATAATTTTTTAAAAATTATGGGCAACTAAAAACTTTTTGTATATAGCAATTTAGATTTGTCCTCATACGTTAAAGATCCGGAACATCGTAAGCATTCTATATACAACCTTATAGGCGTATCGAATCACTATGGCGAACTTGGCTATGGACATTGTAATATATTTTTTTAATTCATTACTTAATAGAATAAGCCTGATTATGATAAACAAATTAAGAATATTTTTTTAACTGCAAAATTTGTGTCAAAGGTTGACCTTTTTTAACAAAAAGCCATCCTTTATTATAATTTAGTTCATAAAATTCTAATTTTTTTGTTAATAAAGACACCGCCTACGCAAAAAATTATTTTGACAAGGAATGGTATAATTTTGACGACAGTAGTGTTTCAAAAGTCAAAGAGAGCGTTGTTATGGTAAGTTAAAATAAAAATGACATTTTTAATTGACGTTATGATGATTGCCAACTAAACACAAAAATCTTTTCTAATTTAGTCATTATTAAAATCAGTGGCGTTGGCATCTTTAGTGATCAGCACCACTCGATTTAGTTCAATGAATTTTAATAAAATATATTATTTATTATTATCATGTACAAAAAAAAGAGCAAGGCTGCCTACGTACTTTTTTACCAAAGAGAAGGAACCGAAAATATTTTTTTCTCCCCTTCCTCTATCTCATCATCTACATATTCTAGTTTCGTTTCCCCTTTCACGTACAACCTTCATAATAACTTGGAATGTAGCAATAATTCCGGCTCTGACTCGTATAATAATAATGGTAATGGTACTAATTATAACACTCGTTCATCTAATCAAAAGAACTTCCAAACTCTAACCAATATGGAGCTTAATGATCCTACCGACGATGACAACAAATTAGGTATTAAAAACGAAACCAGTTGTTTAGATGATGAAAATGAAGGTAGTATTGACGATACTGACATAGAAGAAGAAGCGGGTGATACCTCGAACAAACTTAATATTGTTGAGAAAAAATTATATGTCAAAAAATTCTATAATACACGACTTGGGGCTAAAAACATCGAACAAGAGCCGATTGGGAACGAAATTGAGATTCGAGCAGGAAATATAATTGATATTACCGGGAATTTTATGGATTCTACTTGATTCAATGGTGCCATTTTTGATTTTATCATTAAACATTTGAGCGCACAAGTTTTGTACAAGAATGCTTGATATTTTTGTCGTTAATTTTCTTATTATTTTTTTTACATGCTTCTAATTTGAGAATTTGGATTTCGTTTTTTCCTCCTTCATCAAATTGAATAATAAACTTTATTTTTCTTTCCATTTTATTAAGTCATAGCTAGATCAAATTATTATAGTAATAAAAAGTCTTTTTGTAAATATTGACAACTATTGTAGTAATTATTATATATAAAATATGTCTGTGTTAATGATAAATATATTGTAAATGAATAATTATATTATATCTTTTATGTTTGTGAATTATAAAAATTATTTTAAATGTATGTATATTTTCTTTAATTTTCTAAAAATTGTGTTTTTGAATGAATCCAAAAATCAACTTTTATTTTTGAAACAGAAATATATAAATAATAAACCATAATGTATAATTAGAAATCATTTATATTTTAAAATAAATAATGCAAATCATTTATTTTTAATTTTAGTTTTTTAACAGTTATATTGGAAGTTGAACAATCACATTTTCTCTTTAGGTCACTTAGAAGATTTTTTTTATAGAATACGTTGCGAACTATCAGGTATAGGAATTTTATAAGCTGATAAACTTGGTTCTGGTGTACCGCTTATAATGATGGTAGGGTTAGCTTGATCGATGCTATCATCTTTCTTATTTAAAGTTTCTGTTTCTGACTCCGCTATGTCGCCTATGATAAAAGAAACGCTTTTAGTCAAGGGAATAATTAGATCCTTAGAATCTTTTCTCTCTTGTTCTTTTAAATTTATTTCTTTCTCATTTGACCAATCAGGGGACGAAGGATTTAACGACGGCTTCCCCTTAATTTTTTTATGGGATAATACACACTCGCTATTATTTACTGAAGACAAGGTAGTCAACATTTCGAATGGGTCCATCTCATATGCGTCCTTAGTATATACAGGTGTTTGGTAACTTCTATTTTTCTCTTTTTTCGGGTAATTATAAGATTCAGAAATGAGACTTTTATATGCGCCTTCTATGTTGGACTCAATCTCTTTGTCTAGTTTTTCTCGTTCGTTTGATATCATCCTTCGAGCGTCTTCGACGTATACCTTGAAATTCTCTCTGGACTGAGGATCGATTAGCGAATCTTTTTCTTCTTTTTTGCTTCGTTCTTTTTTACGGATAAATTCGCGGTTTTTAATGGTAATTTCATCGAATAACCAGGTTTTATTTTCCCAACTTCCTATGGCCGCATCACTAATAATATTAGATATTCTATTCTCTAGCGATGGATCCAATCTTTTATCTAAACGTTTCATCAATGTTCTACCCAATTTAATTCCCTTATCAGGAGCCTGGATTTTTTTATCAATATCTTTTTCCATGCCAGCCTTCATGTGTGTGAAATCATTATTTATCATGATCTTTAAATTATCTATTTTTTGTTGGAACTCTTTGTTGAAATTCATCACATCCTTTTGCCATTCTTTGAGTAAAGCATTTTTGCCTTTTCCCAAGTTTCCGGCTTTCTTTAAAACGTCCATTTTCAAATTTTCTTTAACTTTAATGGTGAAAATTTTTTAAAATATAAAATTTTATGAATACCTCACGTTTTAAACAATCCTTAAATTAAATTTTTTGAATAGCCTATATAACCATTTAAAAGCCTGAAATTGGAATTCAAATATTCGACCAATCTGTTTACCTTTATTTTCAAAATCGGCTTTCTCTTCTATCCAGTTATTTAAAACATTCTCAACGCTTTTTTTCCATCTTTTTTCGAACGCGTGTCGTAGGGCTTCAATTCTTTTGGCTACAACAACGTCTTCCATTCTATCACTTTCTTCTTCTAGATTTTTCAAGGACATTGCATTTTGCTCTTCCCATTCCTCGTTCAGTTTCTTTTTCTCTTTGTTCCAGAACAATCTTAACTCTTCCACGAAGGCTTCGTCCTTTTCCCTTTGCTTGGTTTCTACGGTGGTCGTGAAAATTTCAAAATCTCCATCTATATCTTCTATATATGTCTCGAAATTGCCGTATAGTCCATCCAAAAATCTTCTAAACTCTTTGTTGAGCTCACGCATAAAATTTTTTCCTGAAGAATCGACCCAACTCTTCAATATAATTTCTCTCTCTTTTTTGAAATTTTGTATCGCGCTTAAACGTTTTCTTTGCCATTCGCGATGGAGCGTTACTCTTTTCTCCTTATTCACTTGGGCCAATTGACTTGGAATAATATTGTGATATCTGTTAACGTTATCTGTAACTGTTTATTTTGGTATTAATTGTGAAATTGATTAAAGAAAAGTAGGTGATTCTGAATATTTGGGGATTGGTATTCGAAATTTACAAATTGGAAGAATAGCCAAATATTTGATTATAAATTTAGTAAATTATTCGATTCAAATAAAAGCAAATATTAAATATTTCCATAATTAGAGGTCAGCGTGACCTGGCCCGTGAAGTTTAGCGAATTTACTTAACCCTAAGCTTAAAAAAATTGCGACGTTTTGGTCTGTAAAAATATTTCGCACAAGTTACAAGGCCCAAAAAATTTTTTGCCCGACCCACACTTCTAGGTCTCAGGCCGGCCCGATCTCTAATGCGGATATCTTGTTATTCAAATATTTTTTTGGCTTATTCGTAATAGGATAATTTTCAACATAAATAAATATTAAAAGATTTAACTTTTTATCAAATCTTTTTCAAATTTTTTCTTGAATCTGGATTTTTTTATCATCTTTTCAACCATGATAGGAGAGGGAGTATATCTATGATCTTTTTTAAAGACCATTTCTTCGGATCCACCCGACTTTAAAGTGTAATTTTTCTCAGTGTTATTAAGTTTTATGTCGACATACTTTTTTTTATTATCAGGATTCTCGTGCAGATCAATATCAATATTGATAGTGATCTTTATATAATAGTTATGTAAAAAATTGTTTTTTTTTTAGTTATGGTAGTATTTAACAAAAATTTAAAATCGATTTCTTAAATTAATAATGATAACCTCATCTTCCGTCTCACCTTGATCGTTATCTAATCAAAAATATTAAGAATTTTCAAATTATTATATTATTAACATTTAAAATTACTTAAATGATGTCTATTTAAACTTTCTTTTTCTGCTATTCGATTTAGCATAATTTGGGTCCAAGATTTTCGATTTTTTAAAGACATATTTTGTTCTAGTTTTAATTGCGCTTCATCCCTTTTTGCCTTAGATAAATCCACAGCTAAGTCCCTTTCTGGGAACATAATATACTCGTGCATTTCTTGAGCCATATACGTAGGGGTTATATATTTTGTCTGGTCCACTAGGTAACTAAAATTTTTTAACCTATCTATTTTTGTCATGAGTCCCGAAGATCTATAAGGAGACTTCGCCAACGGTATCTGATTTTTAATTATGTTGGAGACTACATTCCTCCCAAATCTGTCAGAGGAATATGTCCTTTCATAATCCAGTCCCATCTGCATTTAAAGGAATGATACTATTTACATCGAAGTACACAATTATTTATGAGCCATGAGGATTATAACCAAGTCTACTAAAATAACAATTATGTTAACGAATAATAAAATATACTGTGTCGATTTTTCCATAAAAATGAAATGTAATGTCATTATTACGTCGCAAAATTTAAATATAGATGTAACACGTTTTTCACAAAAAGTTATTTCAAAAAACTTAAATATGGGTTAGACATCTAAAACATATCAACATAAACACAAATTTTTATAGAGCAGGCTAGAAATATAGAATGAAACAATAGATGATTTTATAGATTGTGGATTACAATTACTTATAAAGCGTTTTCTGTTGTAACAGCTATTTTTTCTAAATTGGTCGATCAATATACTAACCAAAGCTAAGAATAACGCCGTTTTAAATTTTGCCTTTTACCAATCTTTGCAAGCAAAATTTTGTGTGTATTAATATTTTTACCAAAATCATTTTAATATGGTAATTTAATTATTTTCAAGATTCCAATGATGATTCAATAATTTTTGGAACACTAATTTTGACGTTATAGCATTTATAGAAGATAATTTTAAATAAAAAATAACGCCATTTGAATTTCGTGTTTTAACCAATGTTTTAAATGGTCATAACTATATTTTAGAGTATATTTTAGAGTGAAGGATCTTGTGCTTTTGAAAATCTGTAAAAACAAGGTTTCACTGTTATTTTTTAATTTTAAATGCTCCTTTGAATTCCAATTGATCGAATTGTCCAGAAGAAAATTCTTAATATAAATAATGAAGAAATTAATAATACGGTCATAACCTGGAACACCTACATAGAGAGGCAATTTAAAAGATCACATCAAATCTACTTGCATGTATTTGCAACAGAATGATTTATTCTTTGGGTTATAAACTTTAAAGTGAAATTTTTATATCTTAAATACACGTTTTAGTTTAATGATAGGCCAAGAAAAAATTCTTTATTTACTTTAACCAAAAGATAAAAGATATTATTTCCCCAAAAAATATAAAGATGGGACCTTTATAGAATAAACAAAAGTTGTTTTTAGGTCGAGTCTAAGTTTGTATTGGAATTTGAGAGTATTCACGTAAGTGTGGTATGCAAGGCAAATAAATAATTCTATTCTTATAAATTAAAAATGTTTGATCTAAGCACTGCCGGCATTGTTGGGGACAATTCCTAGAAGACTTCACTTCGTTATTAAAGCTAAAATGACCCATATTAGTGTGTTATATTCATGAATATCAATATTTGTTGCTATAACTCACACATTCAGCCTTTTTTTAAAACAAATTCTTATTTATATGGGCTATTATATGTATATTTAATATTTTTATTTGACAATATATTAAATATTTCTTCCTATCTTAATATGTGTTTATTGCATATGTAAAAACCGGTATTATTTTTGGTTTTGGCTAGTATAAAATTTTGTTCATGTCGTACAGATCATAATTAACACTTTCTATATATCATTTAAAATCATATTAAAATTTTATATAAATCATTTATTTGATACGTGATATTAAGTGCACTAGCCCTAAAAATGTCATGGACTCGCCAATCGCACATCTTTCACCGGCTTAATAATTTTTTCATGTATCCATCTATTCAGTTCTTCGCCCACAAGATCAATCTTTGAATAAGGTATATGTCTTGGTGCATAGATGTAGCCAGAAGGGGGGGGGGCAAGGGGAAATCCCCAACCCCTTCAGAAATTTATCACTTTTTGTAAATATCATTT